TCAATGGGTGCAGGCAAGCCTGGAACCTTCCAGGGGATGTTACTCTTCCAACATCTCCAGGCCTCGGACAAATGCTGAAGCACGGTATTGACCTTGTTCTGCTTGATACCCTCAGGCATCATGTCCATAAGATCAGCCATAACGGATGCGCGGAGCTCCAAATCGAAATGAGACTCCACACGTTGCTTGGTGACGGTCTTTGCAACTCCCTTACTGTGTCGACCCTCAAATTGACGAGACAAAAGATTTCCTAACCATCTCTCAAGCAAAGGAATAATTCCTCGCATGAAGAAAAGCCAGACCCTCCAAGCGGGAGCCCAGAAACCACATCCAGGACCCTTACCGACAGGTCCAGAATTGAACCGATAGTAAATGAGATGCTTCAGATCCTTGCAGGTTCGAATCTGGTGCATCAGCTTGTATTTGTATCGGTACATGCCCGTCAGCTGACCAACGTGGTTGAAGGCGTACAGGATACCGTCTGCAAGTTGGAAGGCGTCAATGTTTCCAAGTCTATACTGAACTTGGGCATCAACGATAAGCTTTGTAAGTCTCAAGATCTCTCGCATGAGATGGAAAGCGTTTCCAAAACGCGACTTCTTTCGCTCCTTGGTGGTCAAGGTCTTAACGGGCTTCAAATTAAAGTTGTAATCGAGATGAAGATACGTCAAGTTCTTGCGGTGGATAAGGAGGTTCAGCATGTTGAAACCCTGGCGACAAACCTGCAGACCAGCCTCAACCCAATCGATGGTTGTCTGCTGGAAGAACTTGGTTTGCTTGAGTGATCGCATCAAGTTCTGCTTGTTTTGCGCCTTGGGCTTCTTCTTGTGCAATTCATTCAATACAAAATTTTTGAGGAGTTTCTGGTACGAGACTCGGACCTTGACTGGAGGTCGATCCGAGGGAGGATGCTCGAGGTACCACTGTTTGACGAGAGGCACATCTTGTGCTCGAACCATGCGTCCGGATCGTCGGTCAAATGGGTAAGGCGCCCACCACAGTTCGACAGCAGATGATGTGTTCTCATTCTCGATATCCTCGTCGGCAAGGAACGGCTCGACTCCAGCAGGCAGCTCAAAGGCATCGTCTTCGGACTCCTCAATGTTACCAGCGCCAAATATCTCGTCCTCGTGGGAAATCTCCACATTCTTGGGTGCGACGGTTCGCGACGAGATGGGGTTGATGCGACGATCGAAATGGAACGTCGGAAGATCAGGGTCATCCGCACGATTGAATACGACCTGAGGGTGTGAGTGCCACGATAAATGAACACTTCTTGGTAGCGAATTATAGAGGTACGGAAAGGCGACCCTGAACTCGGTTCGAATGGGGTTTCGGAAAATGATACGATCAATAGCATTAAACTCGCCGAAGTCTTCGTCGTTGGGGTCGATATCCTTGTACAGTGGTTCGAAACGAGGACCACCAGGAAGGGCGACGTTGAGAGCCTTGGCTGTTAACAAGCTCTTAAGGTCAAAGAGATAGAAGTAGTTCTTGTCAACGACATCAGAAACAAGTGGTCGACTCAGACGGAATAATGTCGCCATCTGAGGTAGCGTGAGGTTCCAGGCCTTGTAGCTTGGGCCGTTGACGTGCGGTGTGTCCAGAAGAGGTCTGTGATCGTAGAACCATTCATATACGGCCTCGTCATCTTCCTCATCCAACTCCATTTGAATGGGCTCAAGGGGCTCAACATCCTCCAAGTTTTCGGCCCACGACAGGGGAGGCTCTTCGTCGTCGAAAGGCGGGAATCGCATACGCTTGAATAGTCGTCTGTCGGCCTTTTCTTTGCGCATAAATGTCCACATCATAGCCCACTGCGCAAAGAAGACAGGCTCGATAACACGCGGGATCTCGTTGACCAAAGTCAAGCATCCGTTTACATGATAAAGCACCTTGACTTCTCGCGCCGATTCCCATGGCATCGGCATGTTCTCGAGGAGCTTCAGAACTGCGTGTGGCATGAACTTCAGTGCCCCTAAATAACTTCTCTTATCGTTCGTAAATCTCTTTTGTGAGACATCACCTATATCCTTGACGATTTTTCGGAGGTGCTCAGGAGGCATGTCGGCCTTCTGTGTCTGAACGAAACCACCCTTGCGCTTCTCACCAAAGCGGTTTCGGCGCGACCTCACCCATTCGTTCTTCTTCTGTGCGAATTTTGCCATTTGAGTGTCGGTTGGAGGACGATAACCCGGTGGTGGCGGAGCTGGAGTAGAAGGAGGAGGAGGCAGAGACGAAGACGGCGGCGGAGGAGGAGGAGGAGGAGCGCCCCATCCTGGAGGAGGAGGCGGAGGAAGCTGCGACATGATTGCTGCTTGATGCGCTGAAGAGAAAGGGAAGAATCGGGAAGCTGTCGCTATTAGGCTGAGCGCCGTTGCGCGTGATTAGTCACGCTACCGGTTCCGAAGCGCTATCAGTATTAATATTAGTAGTAGCTGCTTTGTCGCGGTTGCTTGGTGATGAAATTGATGCTGGTCGCGCAGATTTTGAGCGAGCACGACCAGGGGTAGATGGTAAGGAGCTTTTGAGAAAGTTGCCTTCATCACGATAAATTCTGGGCCATGGTCTTGAGACGCGCTCCTATGTGGGTCTCTTCACGTGACTCGCAGCTTGGGTGTAAGTCGAAGTTTATACTGAATACAATCCATGATGCCTGCGACTTATGTGTAATCTTAGCTAGTATTCTACCATTGGGCTACAGTGGCGTTTACTGTTCAGAATCAATCTCATATATTCTTTTGTCTATTTGTATACGTCGCTATCTCTGTTCAAACGACCAAACTATCGCTTCCAGCTGGAAGGCCAACTTGTTTTATAGTTCATACCGAAAATTATGAAGTCAGAAAACCTCTACAGCTTCAACTTCGATACCAAGTCACTTATACAAATAACTCATGCGATGATTTTTATCAGTGAAGATTTGTCAAATGTTACCCGTCTATAAGTCGTTTTTGCTATTGGCGTTCAGATGAGCCATGACTGTTGTGTGCAACAGTTTTGTTACAGCCAGCAGAAATTGACACATAGAATCAGACTTATAAATTCTAAAAGCTTAAAAAAAAAAATAGATACATCACTTATAAACTGAATAAGTCATACTTGTAGAAGACCGTAGTCTACCATGCGAGATATGGCCAAGATACAGGGTAGCCTCGTCCCGATGAGAACTGTCCAATGATAGCAGCCATAATTCAGACACTGACTTAGGTAATCACCAAAGCTACAATCATCGTCCAAGGTTAGCATCATTCGACTGAACATCACGACGGCCAATTCGTCCCGCAAACCACTTTAGCACGACACAGATCACCGTCAATCAAAATGGCGCACCTCAGTAGGTCAAATGGAGACCAATACTTCCGAACTATGCTAACCGCTGCCCTGCAGACGTCAAGCCGGACCCGGCCTACCTCAAATATGCCGGTGCGTGACTTCTCCCCGTCCTCGACGGCAACACTTTCGTCTCGAGCCCATCCTGACAATGTGAATAGCTATGATGAAGACGCGCCATCACTACTTCCGATGGACGCCCCGAACTGCCCGGCTCACCTTCATTTACGTGGCCGTGGTCCCCGCCATCATGGGCTACATCGCCTACAAGACCGACGTAAGTCAAGAAGTAGGAACCGCGACGACCACCGAAATGCTGACAAGTGAAGGGACTCTGGGATTTCCGAGCGAAGCGAAAGGGCGACCTCATTTACGAGAAATAAACCTGCCAGGCATTGGAGGGTTGAGATGTGTACATATAAAGCACCCTGATTGGGATAGAGCCCATGGTAGGGATTCAATTGAACCGAGGTCAACAATGAACGAATGGTCGCCGAGATTGTGATATGTCTGATGAATTGAATGGAAAATGGGTATCATCGACGTGACGCCATCAAATCAAGCACTGGGTGTCTGTTACCACCTCCCTCTGCCTCTTGATCGCCCACCAGAGGTGTCCGGTAATCTTTCGCCTCTTCTCCAATCGCCCATAGGAAAATCTCCCCCGGAATCATCCCTCCAGCCAGCCCGTCCTCCTCTCGAGTTCCTGCGCCCAGAACCGTTATCTCGACCTCCCCGGTGAGTCCCTCGAACTTCATGTGGACCCGAAGCCTGCTCCCTTCGCACGCTTGAAGCGGGCGCCACTGAGCCATCCGAGAGTGGTGGTAATATTGCGCAAGTGATGTAGTCGCCAACTACAAATCGACAATCGCTTAGTGTCTTGGTTTTGTCGTCACTGCCTCTTGTTGTACCATCCATGGAAATGTCACCAGATGTGTCTGCTACGGAACCACCACCCAATACTATGCTGCCGAGGTCCTTAACCCCGTATTTGGGGGGAGCATTTGTGACTGCGGCGGTGTTTCGAAGGTCTGGAAATACCAACTGGAATACGAGACGACATCCCACAGAGGGCGAAGGCAACGCTGACTTTTTGGCGCCTGCAAGTTCCAGAGCCAACTCATTCAGAGTACAGTCTGACCATGTATACACAGGTATATGTGGCGGCAAACTACGCGACTCAAATTCATCTGGCCTATAAGTAAAACGTTAACTTATTGGGATCTAAGGCCATCTATATTGGATGGGGTCATGTATACCTGTGTAGAGATCCTGTACGATAGAAGAGATGCAGCAAAAAAGGTGTTGTATCGTCGCGTAGTGACCTTTCTGGAGATGAAGACATCTTATAAGACTGACAAGAAGGGAAAAAGAGAAATTGTGAGACTCTGTTATTATGGTGAGGCTTTGTTGTTTAAGTTACGAATGATGAGAGGCATCACTAAAGTATCCAAATTAACCGATCTATATCCGCTGAAACCATCATGACTTCGCGCTCCGTCAACAATTTGTGAACTCTGACCACTTACAGACTGCGACAACAAATTTTTGAAGAGCAACACACTCTTGGCAATCTCCCAATATAAAAACAGGCCAATTCGAATATTGGATCAACGCTCCTATAGGAAACACCAACACGTCGATAAAAACGCCATCCAATCCACACCATGGATTTCGCAGCGCTCATGAACAAAGAGCTCTCAAAGAGCAAGAAGAGCTCCGGTAGCGAGGAAAAGAAGTACCTGAAACGTTCAGAAATAGAAGCGCAAAGAAAAGAAGCATACCTTGCCGAACAAAAAGCCCTTGAGGCCGAGCGAGAAGCCAAAGCAGCCGCAAAGCGCAAACGAGAGGAAGATGCCGCCGCCGAGAACGCTGCCCGCGAGGAGAAGCGTCGCAAACTTGCTGAGGACATGCGCAAAAGGCGCGAAGAGCAAGAAGCTGAAGAAGAACGCGCCCGAAGGAAGCGACTTGGTTTACCAGAGCTGGTCAAGGCCAAGAGCGAAGACGTCGAGGATGGTGTGCATGCCAGCGAGGATATACCAGAGGAGGAGCTCGTTGAAAAGTTGAGGGGGCTGGGTGAACCAGCTGTATTGTTTGGGGAGAATCACTCTGCGAAACTGAGAAGATATCGCAAGTTGACGACAGTCATGACCAAGGGTCCTATACCGACAACACTGGAACTCGTGGACGAGAAGGATATGAAGGTGACCACCGAGTTACCAAAAGACAAGGAAGGCAGGAAGTGGCTATTTCGACAACTGGCAAGCTACTTTACGATGGTTCTTACAGAGTACGAGCGAGCTATGGAGGCTGAGAAGCGGGATACAAGTGCCAGTAAAACGGCATATAATGCTATGGTACAGACGCGAGAGAACATGAAACCAGTAAGTCATACTTTTTGTCCACAGACAAGATGCGTACTAACAATCTGTAGCTATTCCGCAAATTTGAGCAAGGTGAACTCGATGACGACATTCTCAAGCCTGTTACAGAAATCGTTCAAGCTCTCCAAGAGCGTCGTTACGTGGACGCCAACGACGGGTATCTACGTCTGAGTATCGGCAAGGCAGCATGGCCTATTGGTGTTACCATGGTAGGCATCCACGAGCGTAGCGCTCGTGAGAAGCTGCATGATGGAGAGAAGGGCCATGTCATGGGAGATGAGGTTACTCGCAAGTACCTTCAGAGCATCAAACGCTGCCTGACTTTTGCGCAAGTTCGATGGCCGCCCACAGACTTGCGACAGTTGATGGGCTAAGGAATAGTATATAGCCGGAGGCAAGTGCTCGAACTTAACAATGATACCCCCCTTGAACAGGAACAATTGAAACACATGCACAAAAACAGCATTATATAGAATGATTGATTTCGAAGAATGCTCCTGACGCCTCATCTAATCTACCGTAGTGTAGTTCCATACCCGTAAGTAGATAACCGTGATCAGGAATTCCTAACGCCTGGGTTGTAATGCGATATGCAGTCCATTGGTTAAGGTTGTGATGCCCAGCTCGCCCTTCACTGGGTCAGTTGACAAGGGCCACGACGGACAATCTTTTACCATTATCCACCGAAATTTCTAGGCCTCGACGGCGCCTGGTTGTCCCGGTGCGCTACCCTCACCGTACCACTGCTCATCTATTCCACGACCACCAAGGCCAGGTCCCTTTGCCCTTCCTGCAGCCTCAAGACCAGCGGCAATGAGGCTGATGCGACGGAGTCTCTCCTTGGCCTCCTCCTCGTACTTGGTAGCTACCTCAAGTGCCTGCTTCTGCATCTCAAGTCTCGGGTTGGGTTGGTCTGCAATGAGCAACTATACAGAATCAGTAAGTGGTCAAGTGGTAAAGAAAGAGTTGCCTACCTGTTCCTTGATATCTAGACGGGCCTTGAGTATTCCTTCCCGGATCATAGATACGAGCTCCATCTCAACTGACCCTCCATCTTGTGCAAATGCTTGGTTCAAGCTCTCAAGGGTGACACATGAGAATGGTATGAAGTACTGGACAATGCATTTTCTTCGGATCTGTGTGTAGAGAGATAGAACGTGGCGCTGTAGGTAGATGTCCAGGAGACAGTCGTTTCGAATGGACTCGAGAATAGCAAGACAGCTTGAGTATCTACCATTGACAAAAAGACTGACGGCCTTGCGAACGTGCGACTCGTGTTCTAGGAACGAGCGGAACGACTGGTTGTCCAAGACTCGAGTTTGGAGTTCCTGTCTATCCATAGTCGCCAGGGCAAGGAGACCTCCGTAAACGGCAATGTCGTTTGGGCTAGCGATGTGGTTGTATTGCGCAGGCGGTATGGTGAAGTCGACTTGGAGAAAGTTGTTGGCTGCATCCTTGTAGTGCTTGAGACCAAGGAGCGCAATACCAGAGACAAGCTTTGTGTATGGCTGATATAAACGTTCCTCCTCACCACTCTGAACACCGACGATTTTACCCAGATTGTTTAAAACCATGGTCCAGTCTCGCCTAGCGATGTAGACGTTGACGAGGTGGACGCCGCAATCGATAATGTGTTTGGTGGTGGTTACGTCCTGGCGCATGCGGGTGTACGCCTCGGCTGCTGCCTCTAAATATCCGGTCTTTTCAAAATGCAAACCCAAGTCTTCGTTTCCCATCTAATAAAGTTAGAAGGTTGTTTTTTCACAGAGCTTTGAGATTTTCACGCACTCGAATGCTCTCTTTGATCAAATTGTGTTTGTATTGCTTAAGCTGGGTTTCGAGCCGTGCAGCTTCCGTCTTGTTCTCGCGCTCGACTCTATCGATCCATGCTTGATCTTTCTGGGCGTCGGGTTCGTCAGGAGCGGCAAAGCGAATGCAGCCCCAAGCGTCGATGTATAGGGCCACATCTGAGCCTTTCTTGATCTCAGTGATAGCAGTCTTGAGCGCGTCGACACAGAGTGATACGGAAGACTTTCCGATGTGGATGAGGCGATCGATTCTTGTTCGCCCTAGATGAGCTGTCAGCGGGCACATCGAGAGGGCACCAGTGGGATCAAATTGACTGACCGGTGTAATTCTGGATGTAGAGATCGAGGTCGAGCTTTGGTTGTTCTGAAGATGCAAGTCAGCACATGATTCTAATCGCATGAAGCTAATGTTCACGGCTTTGACGACACCAGCCCAACGAACCTTGGACAATGATACCACCCGAGTTTCTCATATGGGCAAAGTAAGCCGCCAAGGGACTTGATTCGGACATTTCGAAGCTGTGCGTAGCTCATACACACCCAGACACACCTATTAAACAATGCGGGATGGTTACAGAGAGCTATCTGTAACTTGACATGTAGTTTGGTGGATAGCAATCACTTGCTGCTAGGCTAGGCTACAGTGGGGTAAGACAAGGTGGGGGAGGCTCGGTGAGGGGTGACCCAGACCGGGGCAGCATGGGTCAATTTCGGTGAGCCAAGGTGAGGATTTGAGTGGCGGTAAGTGGGGAGCCGATTCGGTCCCGAGTCTCCCACGACACTCAGCATCACTTCTGGGGTGCTGAGTGCTGACGATCAAAAAGAAGCTTTTCTGACTACAGCAAGGCTAGCCCTAGGTTTGACTCAGGACTTGGTGATGACGTTCTGCGACTTTTCCTGACAGTTGATACGTATCATGTAACTGGAGACTTTACGTACAGTTTTCACCTGCCATGGCAGAGGCGCAGATGCATGTTGGCACATCAGCAATATTCTGAAGCTGAGCACATGGATGGGTGTCCCAATGCAGCACTTCCCCTCTTCCACGAGGACAAAGTGAATGCGACATTCAAGCCCGGGCAGGAAATAACCACCTGCCTAGTTGCGGACAATGTGAGCCCTTTTCACCATTGAGTTAACGTTACGACGATCAACAGACCCTGAATTATCAAACAATCTAGACAATGTGCTGGAACATGGCTGCAGATACTGTGACTGGCAGGGTAATGCTAGTTCCGGACATGTTAACTCTATTCAATTATAGTTGAGTTAGGTTGGTTTTGTCCAGGAGTTGATGTTTCTGGAAAAACAGACGTGTTTATTAGGTTCAAGCAAGGCCTGGTCAAGTTTGATTGAAACTTTGTAGACGAGGTCAAAACAAAGCTTGAACGCCAAGACCAATGCCAAGACTTGTTGCAACACAAATCTACGGCAGATAATTTTCATCGCTCTCTGACCCGACTTTATCGGCCGAAGGAGATGCATATTTTTGGACCAAAGACCCACGACGATTCCAGCTTAGCGATGGGTCCAGAGAGCGATATAGAACCATCGGCACCTTTTCCACCAATAGACCACGAAGCTGAAGTGAATCAGAACCGCGAAGACGCGAGAGGGGCGTGCTGTCTGATTCGGCTGCGCCGTTTAGAGCTAGAGCCCAGGCAGGTCAGGGCACGGAGGAAACCCGGGTGAGAGCCGGAGATTGAGGTTAGGATCCATACATCCATCTCCATTCATTCTGTGTCAAGTTCGTTTTAGCTGGTGATGTCATGTCTAACGCACAGATTCTTCATCTGGTCGTCGTGATCATCTTCCTCATTCGATTCTCGGGTACGTGAAGAGGATTCGAATCACATTGCATAATGGTCACTACCCAACATGCATGTGGCGCCTTGTTCTCATGCGTGGCGGGCCAGAAGCCACATGAATGGGGATCATCCCGTCCGTCAGCTTCCGTGACTCCCGGAGCCGATGCAATGGTGGTTTCTAAATCCAGTCAATATCAACTTGTACTGTAGGTACTGTACCTACCTAGAGTGACAGAACCAACACTCGCTCTGCATCTGACCATTTTGATTTTGGACCCTGCTTCTTATCGCAAACGCTACGGATTAAAGCATCTCTATTAGTGTTTGGTTTATCTTATGCTTGTCTCCGTTGCTGCAGCCTGGGTCACACTTCAGCCAGTGCATTAGACTAGACTCTCAATAAGGTATGAACAAAGTTGGAGCGGTCTACTGCTGTTGCGAATAGAGTTGACTCTGATTTTCATTGATCAACACGCAAACTTCAACGCTGTCAATCGACCCCCAAAAAAGATACAAGCAATGACGTTTCGTTCCTGTCGTCAACACCATCTTCAATGGCTTTATCTCGCGATTCCGAGACCCTCTTGGCCTCTCCTCCAGAGACTCTTGCCACGGCTTGACCAACGCAGATAACACGGAAACAAGATCAATCCCCACAAGTTTATGCCGCTGAGGCTTAGGTTTGCCTAGCGCAGCCACTCACAAGCCTGCCCGGGCTAGGCCATGCAAGTCTCGTCAGAGTGGATTGGATTGGATGCGATCTAGCTGACGACAAGGTTGGTCCAGAGCGTTTTGCGTTTTTGGGCGGTTCATTCATTGCCCCTAGCTAGTTAGTGAGTGTCTTCGACCCCCAATTAGCGGGTGCTTAAAATTACTTCTGGGTACCTGTACTCGCGACTCGAGGCGTTGGAACGGTACAGTATCAGAGCGTAATCAATGGCGTAGTGGTTGTCCACAGCAGCCAGCAGCCCGCAGTCCCTGAAAGCTGTATCGGTCTCATTTCAATGCTTCAATTAACGGCATCCATTGAAGAAAAAAGTCGCTGGCCATCTTGAATCCGCCGGTGCAACAGCTTGTGCTTGTGCATACGACGGCGCTGAGCGGCCGGTTGGTCCCAAAATGCAAAGGGGGTCTGTCCCTGAGACTGACTGCGAGTTTATTTTGCGGCCGCGCGGCTTTGGGGTTGATGGATGTATCCGTCCACTGGCAGCCCGAGCAGTGGAGATGGCTTCTCTTTTCTAGAGGTCGCCGTCCCGTCATAGCCGTGATCCCGCTGTAGTTGCGCACGAGTTGGTACTGCAATGTGTTATTCGTGTTTCCAATTCCTTCTTGTTTGATGAGAAGAAGCATTGTCGAAGGAAAGCCCCGGTAGACCAGCCACCGACGCGTTTTACGAGGTGATAGTCTATTTGGGGGCATGGACCTGACTCACTTGGGCAATGCGCCAAGTGATAGTCTCTAGAGAATCTGGATAAGTAGTCAAGCACCGTCAACGACTTCTGTAACTATTCATCGACGCAATGGGACACTATTGACGTTACGCGCGTGGTTTCTCAAGGAAGCCCACAGCACAGCACAACACGAAACAAAACAACACATGAGGCATGGAGATATGGAGATACTGTAGTTATCTTAAGACAAGGGGGGTTCTTTTGTAAGTCAGTGATAGTGAGCAACTCAAAAAACTGGTACCTGTCTAAATGGTAGGTATACGCTGGATCCAATGTCACCTCACCTCCCTGCCCTGGTAAACTTGAA